CTTCCTTCCTTCCTTCCTTCCTTCCTTCCTTCCTTCCTTCTCTCTCTCTCCCCCTTAAATAAATAGCTGCTCTAAGTTCATAGTATGTTTATAAATTGTATTTACTCTTCTAAATGTTTGACAGGAAACATTGTTTGCTGTTTCTTTACCAGCTGCTTCCTTTTCTCGCTCACAGTGCCGCTGCCACCCAGGCTTCCGTCTCAAAGACGACAGGAAGACGTGCGTGGACATAGACGAATGCGTGACCTCTTACCCCTGCACCCAGCGCTGCATCAACACCCATGGCAGCTACCACTGTCTGTGTGTGGAGGGCTTCCAGCTCAGTCCAGAGAACCCAACGATATGCAAATCTGTTTCTGGTAAGAAAGCGACAGTTGAATGGCAGTCACGTGTTTCAGACAAATCCCCTCATGCGTGCTCTCAACCTTGCAGACGAGGAGCCGTTCCTCATCTTTGCCAACCGCTATTACCTGAGGAAGCTCAACTTGGACGGCTCCAACTACACCCTGCTCAAACAGGTGAGCCCCATGCGTCATTTCCATGATTACGCTGGAGACGTTTTTATCGTGTCATAAAACTAATCCGGCTTCTCTGCTGCTGTCAGGGATTAAACAACGCCGTGGCTCTGGACTTCGACTATCGGCAGCAGATGATTTATTGGACAGATGTCAACACGCAGGGCAGCATGATCCGACGGATGCACATCAACGGCAGCAACGTTCAGGTCGGTGTTGCAGCGTCCTGCCTTTGAACGATAAAAGGATAATTAAAGCTGCCGGCCTGCTTAACATCCTCATCCTCACGCCTGAGGATGAGGATGTAAGACATAATTAGACCCATCCATGTCACATAGAGACAGCTTCTTGTTCTTCTGTCAGGTTCTTCACCGCACGCTGCTCAACAATCCTGACGGTCTGGCGGTGGACTGGGTCGGAGGAAACCTGTACTGGTGTGATAAGGGACGGGACACTATCGAGGTGTCAAAGCTGAACGGAGCGTACCGGACGGTTCTGGTCAATAGCGGCCTGAGGGAGCCGCGCGCCATCGCCGTGGACGTTCGCTACGGGTGAGAGCGACCAGGAACCAGCCGAGTCCTGCATCTCCACTGTGATGTCGATGTTATTTAAAGTGGATACGTGGGCCTGCAGTGCAAAAGTTAGATGGTGAAACCTTTGTTTCGCCAGGCAAAATGTTAAAAACAATTTTCTCATTTCTAAACAGTGCTCCACCAAATATTGATTTCTGAACTCTTCCTGAGTTAAAACATTGGTTTTGTTGTTTCTAAATGAATATGAACTTGTTTTCTTTGCATTATTTGAGGTCTGAAAGCACTGCATCTTTTTTTGCTGTTTTGACCATTTCTCATTTTCTGCAAATGAATAATAAATTGTTGCTTGGAAGTTCAGAGACATGTTGTCAGTAGTTCATAGAATAAAAGAACAACGTTAATTTTACTCAAACATAAACCTATGAAAAGTAAAATTAGAGAAACTGATCATTTTAAATGGTCTCTTAATTTTTTCCAGAGCTGCACATATAAATGGTGGAAAACACTGAAATAAATAAACAGTTAGAGGAGATTCACCTTCCAGTAGGACAGTGAGCCTAAAAACCACAACAAAATGATTCAGATTAAAGAATGCATTATGTTAGAACTGGCAATTCAAAACTGAATTGTTCCATGAAACATTAAATATATTATTATCCTCACTACTTTTTTGTTCTCCTTTAAAATCCCAATAAAACACATTAAAGTGTTTTCGACAAAATGCGATACGTTTTAGTGGCATTGACACTTTAGCATGAACAATAACAGTAATATTACTCCCTGACAGGTACTTGTACTGGTCTGACTGGGGCGACAACCCTCACATTGGGAGGATCGGGATGGACGGCACCAACCGGAGTGTCATCATTAAGGATAAAATCACCTGGCCTAACGGCTTAGCCCTGGACTTCATCAACGACCGCATCTACTGGGCGGACGCTCGAGAGGACTACATCGCGTTCGCCAGCATGGATGGAACCAGCAGACACACCGGTAACGCACAGATAATGAAAAACACATTTAACTTAATTTTTTATTGTTTTTTTGACTCCGCTTCACTTGTCCTGTGTGTTTGCGTGTGTGTGTGTGTGTGTGTGCGCGTGTGTGTGTGCGCGTGTGTGTGCGTGTGCGCGTGTGTGTGTGTGCGCGCGCTCCTGCAGTTCTCTCTCAGGATATTCCTCATATCTTTGCCATGACTCTGTTTGAGGAGTACATCTACTGGACAGACTGGGAAACTAAATCTATCAACAGAGCTCATAAGACACAGGGGACCAACAAGACGATGCTGATCAGCACCCTGCACAGACCGATGGACATCCACGTGTTCCACCCGTACCGCCAGCCTGACGGTACGCGCCGCTGCCCGCTCTGACATCCCTGTCAGAGATTTCACACTCGCTGTTTACGTTCCCTTCTGTCCTCGCCAGTGGCCGGCCATCCGTGTCAGATAAACAACGGCGGCTGCAGTAACCTGTGTTTGCTCTCGCCTGGCGGGGGCTACAAGTGTGCGTGCCCCACCAACTTTTACCTGGCCGCAGACAGCAAACGCTGCCTGTCCAACTGCACGGCGAGCCAGGTGAGCTTGTGCAGAGGTGTCACTGAATGGCTTGTTTTCCCCTTTAATGAAAATATTAAAAAAATAATGTTTCTCATCTGCTCTTTTAGTTTGTCTGCAAAAATGACAAGTGCATCCCATTTTGGTGGAAGTGCGACACAGAGGACGACTGTGGGGATCGCTCAGATGAGCCCGCAGACTGCCGTAAGCGATTAGCCAGACTCTGGTCGATTTCTGCTGGCTTTCTTGTTGGCGTTTTAGGAATGCTGTGTTGTAACGACGTGCTGTGCCTGGCCTCCCCTACAGCTGAGTTTAAGTGCAAGCCGGGTCAGTTCCAGTGCGGCACCGGCATCTGCATCAACCCTGCCTACATCTGTGACGGAGACAACGACTGTCAGGACAGCTCTGACGAAGCCAACTGCGGTAGAAATGCTCACACATGCATCATAGCTTATTTACGCTTTTTCCCGTACACCACTCGTTCTTCATGGACTTCGCTTTCTCAGACATTCACGTGTGCCTGCCGAGTCAGTTCAAGTGCACCCACCCCAACCGCTGCATCCCAGGAATCTTCCGCTGCAACGGCCAGGACAACTGCGGCGACGGGGAGGACGAAAAGGACTGCCGTAAGTCGTCTCTGACGTTTGTTAGTTTCGGCGCTTCTTGACGGTGGTCAGGAGTTTTTACAGCTTTCACTGTTTCTGTTGCTGCTGCAGCATTATCCCACAACATGTCAGAGTCTTCCAAATAACGATTAGATGCAGATCTGTGATGCTGTGGGCCTGTTTCTCTAAACTATTCAAGGACCTTGTTAGGGGATATGAACTTAGTGAAATATCAGGACATTTTAAATTTAAATCTGGTGGCCTTTGACGGTAAAACGAAAAGGGGTCATCACTGGTTCTTTCAGCAACATGACAATCCAAACAAAGCAACAGAAGAAATCTATATTTTTCAGTCACTATTTCAGTTTCCAGAGTTAAATCTTCAAGGAAACCTGTGAAGGGAAGCAGAAAAGAAAACAGCGATGCCTAAACTTTTCAGCGTCTGACCTAAGAAGAGACTAACTAATAAATTTACTACCATGTCAATTAAATGGTTGTATTATAACAGCAGAACGCTGGATCAGCTTCAAGGATGTGGCATGAATACGCTATACCACCAATGTTTTTGAAGAATCGCTTGGCCTCACGTATTGATTCAGGTCACTCATTGGAGTCCTGACTCAAACTTTGGAAATGTTCGGTTCAAAAACATGGTGGAAAGAGAAGCCATCAAAGATTCTCTGAGTTCTCCAACCTTGTAAAAAACCTTGTTGTTGTTTTTTTAAACATACCACATAACAGTTTGTTCTAATGTAGCGTTGCTACAATAACTCAAACGTGTGCCTTCCTGTTGCAGCGGAGGTCACATGTGCTCCCAACCAGTTCCAGTGTGCCATGAGTAAGCGCTGCATCCCGAGGGTCTGGGTCTGCGACCGGGACAACGACTGCGTGGACGGATCCGACGAGCCCGCCAACTGCAGTAAGATGAGCCTTTGAAATAAAACCGTGGTAACATGCCTGCTTCTCGAAGCGCGTCTGTTGAAGTGCTCGCGTCCTCCTCCGCACCGCAGCTCAGATGACGTGCGGCGTGGACGAGTTCCGCTGCAAGGACTCGGGCCGCTGCATCCCGGCGCTCTGGAAGTGCGACGCCGAGGCGGACTGCAGCGACGCCTCCGACGAGCCCAAGGACGAGTGCGGTGAGGAACGGCTCTCTGACCCCATCTGGCCCCCCCACCCCCGGAGGCAGGAAGTGTGTTTGACGTCGCTCTGCGGAGCCTGACTCTTCCTGTTTGTCCGCAGACGAGAGAACGTGCGAACCTTACCAGTTCCGCTGCAAGAACAACCGCTGCGTGCCCGGCCGCTGGCAGTGCGACTACGACAACGACTGCGGGGACAACTCAGACGAGGAGAAGTGCGGTAGGCTCTGTTTATTACCCTGTGAAGAGGCACAGCTCACTGTGCGAACCAAAACCAGCTGGTTTGTAACTCCGCATGAGCTTTTGCTGTCGGAAGGGAAACGGAGGCAGTAAGAAATGTGTCGCTCCTCACTTTCTGTCTGCTGTAGCTCCTCAACTGATCTCTGGTCAGTTGGTCGGCTCTGTGCACATCTCACATCATCTCATGTCTGTTTTGCATTTCACACTGGCCTGTTGCTGTGAGCCAGAGGTAGGTGCTGTCGCTGTTTCAGATCAACCGCAACCTTCAAACTCCCGGTCTTGCTTTTTTTTTTTTTTTTTTTTCCTCCTTTTTTTTTGGTTTTTTTTGCAATCTTTCTTCTCCTTTCTTCGCCCACTGACACCATCCCTATAATGCAATTAAAATGCCTTATTTATTTTACGTAACGAGTCCTTGCTCCTGTTCTGTTCTGAACATCTCTAGTTATCCTCTCCTTAAGCCTTTTCCTGACTGACTCCCTCTGCTCTTTATGCTCTCCTAATTATCCTTTCATACTCTTCAAAGCCTCTTTTCTCTCCGCCCTCAGTGCCTCGAAAGTGTTCAGAGAGCGAGTTTGCCTGCACAAATGGCCGCTGCATTGCTGGCCGCTGGAAGTGCGACGGGGACCACGACTGCGCCGACGGGTCAGACGAGGTATCGTTCGATTTTTTATTTATTTATTTATTTTTCCTTCTTTCAACGTTGTAAAATCTGTCACAATAGAGGAGAACTAAAAACGGCAACACTCTGGTTGTGCTTCAGGACGGCTGTGAAGTGTGGTGTGACAGAGATGAGTTCCAGTGCCAAAGCGGCCACTGCATTCCCATCCGCTGGCGCTGCGATTCCGATGTCGACTGCGTAGAAGGCAGCGATGAGGAGAACTGCGACAGTCCTGGTGAGCGCGTCGCTGGTTTCCTCCTGAAGGAGACTAAGACGTGTCCACGCGTTCCCCCGATCCGTCACATAGCGACCACAAACCTTCTACTGGTTTATTCGGAATGCATCTTAACTCATCTCCTCTTAAAACTGTGCATAATTGTGTAGATAATGAGAGGGGGGAAAAAAAAATCTAATTTTTTCAAATGAGAATCTAAAAACGATGTTGCAAGTATTTAATTTTTTTTTACCCCCCCCTTCAGTTTGACACTCCCAAAAATATCCATTGCAACTAATTCCCTTGAGAAGTTACCTATTTTGTAAGTAAACTCAGATTTAAACTCAGTATAAATTCTGCTCTCCTGTAAAGGCCTCAGAGGTTTGTTGGAGAAGATTAGCGAACATTTTTGATGTGCTGCTTTTTGTGTGCCTTCAATTAAAATCCCATTAAAGTACGATAGAGTGTTGGTTTGTAACGCTAGTGGTCTGAATACTGTATGCATGTCCTGTCTCTCTCGCTGCGGCATCTCAGTGGACAAACACTGCTTCCACGATGAATTCCAGTGCAACAACACGCTGTGTAAGCCTCTTAACTGGGTGTGTGACGGCGAGGACGACTGCGGAGACAACTCTGATGAGAACCCAGCAGAGTGCGGTGAGATTTGCCGCGTTTCACCTTTCGGCCTCTTTGTCCTCCTCCTGTCTGCGGGGATTGGTTTATGTTTTTTTTTTTTTCCTTCTCCTGATCTTCCTCTCTGTCGGTCCACCAGTTAAATTCCTGTGCCCACCCACGAGGCAGTTCCGTTGCCACAACGACCGGGTGTGTGTGCCGGTGTCGAAGCGCTGCGACGGCGTGAACAACTGTGGGGACAACAGTGACGAGCTCAACTGCCGTGAGTTTATTCTGTTTGGTTTTTTTTTGTTTGTTTTTTTCTGCTGCATCAATAATAAAAAAAAACGTCAACTTTGGGTTTGATGCACTCGGAGAGCAAGAGTTTTGATTCGTGCCTAATTTAAATCGTTTTGCTTCCAGCAGAGCAGTCTGTCTTTAAGATGTGCCTTGATCAGTGTTTCCTTTCAATATCGGCCCATTTTCACCATCATTCAGGCATAAGAAGGCTAAACCATAACAGACAACTTTCTAGAAATCTAACACAAAGACACAATTTAACCTCATTAATTTAGCTGAATCTATGAAAAAGAAGACAGAATATGTGCTTTTAATACCAAGTAGATGATTTCCAAATACCTCTTGGCTGAAAGAAAAAGAAATAAAAATGGAATATACCGCTGATCTGCTGTAGATAGTATTTTAGGCCTTGTTCCTTCTATTATCCACATTTTGCACACACCTTACAGAGTATGCTCTCATGTTCAAGTGTAAGTACACAGTACCAAATGGGTCAATAAAGCAGCTGGGGAGCAACAAAAAAAAAAAAAAGCTAAAGAAAATCTGACAATCTGCTGATCAGGAACCACTTTCAAAGATTATCAGAGCAATTCGAACCTTGAAATAAAACCAAAATAAATAAGGGATCATTTAAGCCAGAAGCTTCATCAATTATTTTGATTTTGGTTTTTATTCCCGTGAGCTGGAGAAAACTTATCTGGGCCCATTATTTATTTATTTATTTTTCTAGCAACACATCCGCCGAAGCCAGTATGCCAGAAGAACCAGTTCCAGTGCTCCGACGGTCGCTGCATCAGCACCGATCTGCTCTGCAACCACTTCAACGACTGCGAGGATTACGGCTCCGACGAAATGAGCTGTGAAAAGAAAGGTGCGCTGCAGCCTCACTCGTCTGATGGCCGCTGTTAGACCTCGTCAGCGCTTGACTGTATGCGACCCGTTTGATCCGCAGCAGACACGACGCTGAACGAATGCCGCAGCAACGTGACCATGTGCGGAGACGGAGACGAAGCGCACTGTGTGGTCAACGGCACAGTCTCCTTCTGCTCCTGCAAACCCGGCTTCCAGTCCAGCGGGCAGAACAGGTGCCAGGGTAAGGCTGTCCGGGAATCGCTTCGGTGTTTCCCTCTCGACTCTTTGGGTTCTGGCTAACGCAGGCGTGAACGTCCTTCGGGTGTTTCACAGATAAGAACGAGTGCAAGCAGTTTGGAGTTTGTTCCCACATCTGCAACAACACCAAAGGCTCCCACAAGTGCAGCTGCCACAAGTATTTCAGCAAAATAAATAACACCTGCAAGGCTGATGGTAAGACATGACAAGTGCGTTTCAATAAATCAGAATGTCATAAAAATGTTGGCTCTGTTTTATCCCTGCTGATCGCCAGAGGGCGGTGCTGAGTGAGCTGTAGTCACATACGCAGCTTTAATTCTTCTTTTCTTTCTCAAGTAGGGAAAGTGACGTATCCAAGATTTCATTACAGTCTTACTCTCCTACTAACCCTTTAACAGGCTTTTCCTCGCAGCTCTCTAAAGCCCGTTTTCTATCTTTCGTCCCCGTCCAGCTCAGGGACATGTGCTTTATCTCGGGGACGACAATGAGATCCGCAGCCTGGACGCCTCTGTGCCAAACTGGCGCTACGAGCTGACCTTCCAGGGCGACGCCAACGTGCGCATCGACGCCATGGACCTGCACGTGAAGACCAATCGCCTTTACTGGACCAACTGGCACATAGGGCGCATTTCTTACTTCGACCTGCCGTCCTCATCCTCCTCTCAAAACAGCAACCGGAACAGACGCCAGACCGATTCCCGGGTCATCAACTTCGAGGTGCTGGCGGTTCCGTTCTCGCTCGCGGTCCTGCCAGAGAATCGGACGAGCTAATATGAAATGTGTGTATCCATGCTGGTTCTGCTTAGATTCCAGGGCTGAAGATGCCCCGAGGCATTGCTGTGGACTGGGTGGCGGGGAACCTGTACTGGACCGACTCCGGCAGAGACGTCATCGAGGTGGCGCAGATGACCGGCGGACGGCACCACAAGACCCTGATCTCTGGGATGATCGACGAGCCTCATGCTATTGTGGTTGACCCCCAGAGAGGGTCAGTGGCAGACATTTGAAACAGTGATCTGGAGGAAGATTACTGTGATAGATGAATGTTTTACATCTTCCTCTTTAGGAAAATGTACTGGGCCGACTGGGGCAACCATCCCAAGATAGAAACGGCGGCTATGGACGGAACCATGAGAGAGACGCTGGTTGAAGAAAACATCCAGTGGCCAACTGGTGAAACACTGACGCGCAGTTCTCCCCGATCGTCTGGTGAACATAACCAGGTCGCCGTTAAACCTTCCTGATGCTGTTTTCCCAGGTTTGGCGGTTGACTACTTCAACGAGCGTCTGTACTGGGCCGACGCCAAACTTTCCCTGATCTGCAGCGTGAGGCTGGACGGCAGCGACGTGGTGGTGGCTATAAACGCACAAAACAGTTGAGTGTCAGTCAGAGACGCTGCGTCAAGATCGTGAATGCTCTTCGTGGGTTGGTTTGTGGCTGAATGTGTTGATTAAAACCCACGAGGAAACTGATCAGATATTAATAAAAGCTGTCTGCATTCAGCATCTTTTCACACTGATCAATCCCTCCAGGATTTTGTTTCGCGGCTTTTTTTTTCTTTTGCAATGAAAATCAGTACTTTAGAGATATTTTCAAGGAATTTTGCAATATCTATGCTTTCATATGACGGTAACTCTCCACATCGATCACAGACTGTATATGTAACCTGGCACCAAGTAAGGCTGAGACAGCACTGTAGTAGAAACAAAAAATACTGCCACCTGCAGGGGGGTGTTGGCATCACTTAAACCCAGTGTTTTTGACAATTTTTACATAAAATTTGCATACTAAAAGTATGAAATGTGTTGATTTTGCATGAAATCACAAAAAACTGGAGGGACTGATTGTAATTTAGCAGCAAACGGATTAAAACCGGTTTGATTTGATTGATGAAATAATCTTGAAACATGCAACTTTTACCTTGAAGGGTCTATTCATGTGTCCCTCTGTAGTCTAGAGGGCCACATGAAAAGCTAAGGTGGGCCACATTTGGCCCTCGGGCCTTGAGTTTGACCCCTTGCACACGTTTTATTAGTCCAACACTCAGCTCCTGTCTCTGCTGCGTCTTTGTTTCTTCCTGCAGAGCTCCGACATCCGTTCAGCATCGACGTCTTTGAGGACCACATCTACGGCGTCACCTACATGAACAACTCTGTGTTCAGAGTGAACAAGTTCGGGAGAGGACCCGTGGAGAACCTGGCGAACGGCGTGAACCACGCCACGGACCTGGTGCTGCACCACAGATACAAGCAGCCCGATGGTGAGCGAAGGCAGGAAATGGAACAAACAGAACGACGAGCTTAAAGTCAGCAAAAACTCGTTTCTACTGAACACTAGAACCACCAACGTCTCGATTATGACTTTTCCTAAAATGGTTCTCGCGTTTAAAGAAAGAAAAGAAAAAAAAACAGTTGACCAGATTTGCTCATCTAATGCATGAAAAAGTCTTCTTCACAGTTTGGGACAAATAACTTGGTGTTGGTGGCAGTGTTGGCCTCCCAAAATAAAACGTGTTGGTTTGAAAAAGACAGCAGGACAACACACTGAATCATTTTACTGAAACTTGCAATGGGATGACACTCCACACACTTTTGGTTTTCAGCTACAAAAATATCAAGAGTACTTGATTTTATGAAAACAATAATCAAAACACCTTTGAGGTCACATTGGTGTCTTTCTGTCTCTGAGAGCCTTGGACATTTATTACTGTCTTCCAGTTGTCCTAATACAGCATTTCAAGTGTTTTTAGTGAACCGTTTAAATTGTTGTTTTTCAGTTTCTGCATCCATCACCATGCAGTGACTTTACATTAAATTAAATGCCATATTTTTCATAAATCAGATTTTATTCTAGTTTCTGAAACTGTTGGAAACACCAACAGACATCCTCTCTCAACCTCACGGTCACAATGACTCCCTCTAGTGGTTCTCAGAGGAATTGTAATCTCTGTGTCGACGACATTTCAACACTCCCTCCCTCCTTCTCCTCCTTCCAGTGAACAATCCCTGTGACAGGAAGAAGTGTGAGTGGCTCTGTCTGCTCAGCCCCAGCGGTCCGGTCTGCACGTGTCCCAACGGGCGCACCTTGGACAACGGCACCTGCGTGGAGCTGCCCACTCCCACGCTGTCTCCTCTCTGTACGTGGGCGGCGAGCGGAACATGAGGAGAAGACGCTGTGAGCGCTCCCGCATGACTCTTGAGCTTTTGTCGTCCGCAGCTCCCCCCAGCGGTCCCTGCAACATCCAGTGCATGAACGGCGGGAGCTGCATCCTGAACGCCCACAAGCAGCCAAAGTGTCGCTGCCAGCCGAACTACAGAGGCGACCGATGCGAGATTGACCAGTGCAAGGACTACTGCAGGAACGGAGGCACATGCACGCCCTCGTACGTCACAGGTAACGTGCGGGTTTAAGACGGGGCTTCTCGAGATCCTTGTTTGCTCGTCGTCTAACACGCCTGTCCTCCCACAGGCTCGCCTACCTGCAGGTGCCCAACAGGATTCACAGGACCCACCTGCAACCTGCACACATGCAAGAATTACTGCAAGAATGGAGGCAACTGCACCGTCAATGCCGGGAATCAGCCCACCTGTCGCTGCCCTGCTGACTTCCTGGGCAACCAGTGCCAATATAGTGAGTGTTCCCATCGTTTACTGTTGAGGCAGAAAGCAATACCTTCAGTTATTATTCCTTATCAAGATAATTAGCATGAAAACAGTACAAAATCTAATAAAAGCATCGTTGGATCTTATTTTTGGTGCCATTTGTGCCGTGCATTTCTTCAGCGCGTTCATTAAGTGTCACGTGTCCCTGTGTTTGAGCAGGAAGCTGTGAAGGCCACTGCCTGAACGGCGGTACCTGCCTGCAGAGTGAGAGCGGCGCCAAGTCGTGCCGCTGTCGGCCGCAGTACATCGGCGCCGCCTGCGAGATCGACAAGTGTCACTACTGTCGGGACGGCGAGTGCATCCCCAAGGATGGCTTCGTCACTACGGGGGATTTCACTTGTCGGTAAGACGCAGTCACACATCGCACCTTTCGTGTTCAGTGTCGCTCTCGGTGAAAAAAGAAAATAAACCTCCCTTCAATAAATGTTTCTTTTATTTTAGCAACATAATGGCACAGTAAAATAGCCATTAGATATGTGGGGTGAAGAGAATTGTAAAGTTGCTCAGCATTGTTTAGCTAAAGAGCATCACGATCAGGAATGTGATCATGATCATGGGAAACGCCTTCAGCAGAATAGTTACTTGCTCAGACGTGTCCGCATCTACATGCCACATGCCATCAGAAACATTGAACCTCTAAAATAATTTCATTGGGTCTTTCACCACGATAATGATAACCAGGTTCACCAGAACAACCAGAAGTTCAATTTTACATGATTTGATTAAAAAAATATATATTTACAAATACAGATTTTCTTTCTGCACCCAGTACATATATTTGTTTTAATCTGTGATTTTTTTTTGTAACACCAACAAAAGCGGCCGCAGTGCTCCTCGTATCGTGGGTAGCATTAACCTCTCCTCTGGTTCTTTTCTGTCGGCCGTAGCTGCCCGAATGGCAGAAACCAGCCCAGCTGTTACACGTGTGACCCCAATGAGTACTGTGCGAACGGCCAGTGCTCTATAAATCCCATCAGCCTCCTTCCAGAGTGCAGGTAAAAGGAGGACAGTGTGTTGGTTTGGTTGTCTTCCCTGTGCCGTCGCAGTGGGATAATGAAAACCTTTGCTCTTGTGCAGATGCTCTGCTGGCTGGTCAGGGCATCGCTGTGAGTCTGTGGCCAACACCGCAGAAAGCACCGGGTCAGGTGGACGTAAGTTGCTGCTTGAAATCAGCATGAAAGTTGAAATCATGATCAGATTGGCTGTGTGTGTGTGTTTTTTTTTTTTACATATCTGTGTGTGTGTTTGCAGGCACAGCCTCCATCGTGGTCACGGTGTTGATCCTGCTGCTGCTGGTTCTCCTCACCGCAGGGGCCTTGTTGTGGTACAGGAAAAGAATGAGAGGGTCCGTAACACCCTGACAACCCAACCTCTCTTTACTTTTGTACTCTCTTTCTCCCTTTCTGTCCTTTTTTGTTTAGATTTTTTTTTTTAGTTGATTTCACTTTTGCTCTCCTCTCTCTCTAATCTCTTTTGCTCCTCAGGTCTAGCCGGCCCGGAAAAACCGGCTCCAAGCGCTCGCGGTAATGGTTGCCAGGCGTTCCTCCGTACTTTGCATTTTTCCGTTCTGCACTCTGATTCTCTCTCCTCTCCCTAATCATACGTTTTGGTCGCTGCGCAGTGTTGGGTGCTGTGGTCGATGTTTGTGCCATTTTTTTTACTGGAGTTTCTGAGCCGACAGGATCAGCTTCCTCAGAGCAGATCTATTGAAAAAAGAAAACATGAAATAGATCTGCCTGTATCGTGGATCTAGAGCTTTGATGTTCTTGTCCATCGTTGTGCTGTATTGTACTGTGGTGTGGTTTGTATTGTGGCATTGTGTTTTCATAATAAGAGGTAGGAGATTCTGTGAAGACAGACTAACTTAAGATGAATTTGCGGTAAAATACAGAGCTTAATATCCAGGTCTGGGCCTTCGCTACATCAGTGCTGCTGATTTGTGTTTGTGCCTTTGTTGTGGTGGACATTTCCCTGCTTGCAGTGATCAGGCTCAAATGAAGTCACGTCAGGAAACCTAAAGTCTGACTGTGAATTTGATGTTTAGGGCGAAGGGCTTCCAGCACCAAAGGATGACCAACGGGGCCATGAACGTCGAGATCGGAAACCCCGCGTACAAGATCTACGAGGGCGAGCCGGACGATGACGCCGGGGAGCTCCTGGATGCAGATTTCACTCTGGACCCAGACAAGGTAGATTAAAACATTCGGTCCTAAATACGTTGTCTTTCCAAAGTGTTCATAGCCCTTGAATTTGCTTAAACGGTTACATTTCAGCCATAAATATAATTTTATTTTATGGGGATTTTGTGACACACCAACACAAAGAGTCACGTATGAAGTGTAAAAAAATGAAAGCATGTTAAGATTGTTTTTGCTGCTAAAAATCTCTAAAGTGTGGCATGAAGCTACTTTGAAGACTTTATAGAGTGTCCTTTCACTGGAGGTCTTGGGTATTTCTCCTCCAGTTTTGGACATTTACAGATGGACTTTTTTGTCCATTGCTTCCTCAAAAAAAAAAAAAAGGTCAAGCTCAGTCAGATGAGATGGAAAGAAAGTACGGAGCTCCCTGTGGAACATGGGGAAAAAATAATTGAGGTTTGGGGCTGAAACACAATGAAATGGGAAATATTTCAAAGTGTATGGATAATCCTGCAGGGCAGTAGATGGCGACTGTATTTGCTAACTGGGATTTTTTTTCCTCTCATTTCTTCTCAGCCCACCAACTTCACCAACCCTGTGTACGCCACCCTGTACATGGGCGCTCACAACAGCCGCAACTCCCTGGCCAGCACAGACGAGAAGAAGGAGCTGCTGTCGCGTGGAGACGAGGAGCCCCTGGTGGACCCCCTGGCATAGACTGTCCGTCACCTTCATCATAACTACTCCAAAACACACCATTCTTCTTGCCTTTTAAAGAAAAGAAAAAAACTAAACTACAAAAAAAAAAAAATCAATAAGAAGTGTGAGAGAAAATCGCTTAAGTGTGAACACTGTATAAAATGTACAAAATGAAGGACTACTTTTGTATGTGATTGCAGTATTATATTTTGTTCTTTAAAGATTCCTCTGGTCAAAAGTAAGACAACAAAATAGCATTTTCTATGAGAGATTTTTAATTTACACTCTGTCCCTCACCCTTTACCTAAATAGCCACTACCTCTGTGAGTAAGGAAAAAAACAAAACAAAACAGAAAAACCGTGAAATGGAAAGAGGAAAATCGGAAGAAAAGATGCTACCATTGGGGCAATTTTAATTTTTTTATTTTTGTATGAATTGTATAGATGAGAAAACATGATGTTCCATTTCAAACAGTGCCAACTGCTTGTTGTTTGTGTCGACTTTGAGCGAGGAAAGGGTGAGAATTGGACGTTTCTCTGAACCGTTACGTAACGTCGTCCTGCAGGACGGCGTCAGAAAGTTCGTGTATAGCACATGTAAAATGTCCGAACCAGACGTCAGCTACAGTATTTTCCTCATTCATTTTGTTTCTTTTTTTTTCTTCCCTTCAGAGAACAATGTTCATACAATGATTGTGTTGTCTTCCTTGCACAGAGCCGCACACACACTTTAAGGTACTGCAGGCTTTTTTACCGTAAGCTGTAAAGAAAGTGGAGCTTCTCTTTTGCGTGCGACTGCAGGACGATGATGTTGCATGCTGTCCGTCCAGGGAGATTACAGATGCTACAGATGGTTGATTTGCAGATGCGAAAAGTCTGATGTACAGTTAGGTGTCATATCTGCACTATTTAGCTCTATGTTACAAAGGTCTTCCTCTGGGTGAACAGGAAGGGTTGGAGCTTTTTGCTTGTCTTTTCATTTCCCCGTGTCTTTCTTTGTAAAGACCAGAAAACGCCCGTCTGGCTCTGTGAATAAACGTTGTCTGTTTGCCTTTCGCGAATCAAAGTCTGTACGTTCGCAGCTCTGTGGCGTCTGAAGTGCATTATGTTCATCCTGTCCTCAGCAGTTCTCTCTTGACTCTCTCCTCTGTGCCCTGCTGCTGCTAACGCTGCCGGTCTGGTCCTTACGCTCGGCCTCTGTCCCCGAAATGCTGCTTCTGTCAGAAACGCGTCAGCCATATCTTAACTCTCGGATGAGTTGACACAGGTCTCCAATGTGACGACGAGATGTGCTTTGCTTACCTGTCCAGTGTTATTTTTGCGCTGTTTTAGTGTCTGTATTTGTCTCGAAATCCAGAGAAGTACAATCATTTTACCTAAAGAACACTTTCGCAGAATCATACGTGCGTTTCCAAGACGTTTCTTTTGGATTAGTCATTTTTGTTACTTTTCAATCAGAAACGACTCATAGCTTTTATATCGTACGCCATGCATGGAAGCTCTGACGTTCTTTTGAAGAAGAGACCAATGTTTCATTTTTGCTGGAGTACTTTACAAACTAAATAACGAGATATTGTCATAAATAAAATTTTTAAAATTGTACAGACAACCGGCGAGTGTGAGTGTCTTTGTTTACATCCTGTTAAAAAAGTGAAGGAGGTCAATGGGGCAAATGGGTAAGATAATGATTGGCTGGTTATTTATTTCTGTTAGCATGTCAATGATGATTAAACACTTTCCAGGCTTTACATAGATGTTACAGGGGCTGTAGGATATGATTAAAAGCTTTCTTTTAAAATGCATGTTAGGCTCTAAACAGAAAAAGTTTTGCGCTTAGTTTTTGAAAGTAAATAAAGCTTATAATAGTTTTTATTTCCATGCAACCAAAAGCAATGTGATTTTTTTTTCCAAGAAAAACATGACAAATTTGTGAGAAGTTATTAGTGTTTATAAATGAGTTTTTTTTTTTTTTTTTTTGGATGCTGACTGTTTACATTTAGAAATGCTTTCCTGTTATCAAATTAATAACTAGTTGCACAAACATTGGTTCTGAGAACTGCTTTATGTGTCACATGGACTTGACCACCATCTGGTACCTGTAATGTGGACTGGATCAGTCCACATTTCCTGCACGTCTTAACTTTGCCACAGAAATGGCATGTTTCATATCACCCAACAAGTTTTCTATCAGATCAAGGTCCAGGAATTAGTCTGACCCCTCCAAACATGAAGCATGTTGGTCTGAAGCAAATATACTGCTAAAAAAAATAAAGAGAACATTTCACTTTAATTTTGTGTGTGGCTCCAAATCCAGGCCTCCATTGGTTAATAAATTTGATTTCCATTGATGATTTTTGTGTGATTTTGTTGTCAGCACATTCAACTTTGTACAGAACAAAGTATTCATTGAGAATATTTCATTCATTCAGATCTAGGATGTTATTTGAGTGCTCCCTTTATTTTTTTGAGCAGTGTATATTGAGTTTTAATTTAATGACTTCAGGCCAGTCATTTTCCTTTTTGTTTCAGACTTCGAATGCTTTTCTTGCTGCAAGGTCAGCTTCACATATATTATTGCACCACTGTTTTTGCCATTCTAGCTATTCTTCGATCTGCTGGAACTGGTTTTTGATTGGCTTCCATAGTAAAACATTTGTAATCACACAAAAATGCAACATAACCATCAATATTTGCACACCGTTTACAAGGTTCTCAGGTTGAACCATGTAAATTGCTTTAAATAAATAAAGCAAATTCTGTTGAATATAAATTTATTCATTTATTTTTGAAAAACCCAACCCAATAATCATATTACATTTGATTATATGCAAATTACACTGTGATTCACATAATAAATGTAAAGAAAAAAATAAACAAGCAGGTAAATCTTTCAAAACACTGATTTGTTTAGTTATATTTTGATAGAAAGTCTTCAGCTTTCAGTGAACTTCAAAGTAACCATTAAGTTTTATTTATTATAAAACATCTAACATGATGGAACAAAATGTGGAAATTCAATTTGTCAGATTTTTGAACTAAAGTTTCACTAAATGTAAAACAAAAACTTCACTCAATGCCTTTGGCCTTCAGCTCCTCCTTGACTCTGCTCAGGTATTTCTCATCTGGATACCCGTAACTGTGAAAGCAGAAAATATAAACGGTTTAATACATGAAACAAAAAGCTGAAGCACAGTGAATACAAAGGTGTTAAATTAGAGAACCGTACCACTCTGGTCCTCCTGTCATGGACGTCTTGTGGTGGATGTCATTCCAGGTCACCATGTTATCGGCCCCACTTGTCCTAGAAGTCCCAACAGTGAAAATCAGCTTCTGATCAAAAGCTTTTTTCAGGAGAAGCAGAACTTCATTTCCCTCTTTGTTGTCAGGAAGATATGCATGTCTGGTAGTTCCTCCATAGTGTTGACCAGGCTTTGGATGATTTTCCTGCCAGGTAGAAAGAAAAAATTCAGGTTAATTGTAGCCGTCTTAAACCAAATGTTAAATTACAGATATATGTGCTTAGACATTACCGTCTGTTTTCCACTTGGAATGTCGTAGGTGATGCATATATGGCCACAATTTGGGAATCCAGGTAAAGGGTAGGAAATTTTATTCCAAGTCATTCTTCCATCAGGTTGGTTTCCCACCATCACACCAAAAACATCCTTGCATATCGGACAGATGGGTCCACTGTGTTTCACTGCTTTTTGAACGCACCTCTCACAAAATGCATGTTTACACTTCAGTTGCTTCTTATTAGTAAAATCAGACAAACATATTGGACATATGTCTTCTTTGTTGTCCCCTGTTGCTCCCTCTGCTGCTGATTTTTTATTGTTTTGTGTTGAATGATCATTAACTCCAGCTCCATTGGACGCCTCTTCAGAACCACTGAGCCCAGTGGCACCATAAGGTGGAGGAAGTGGTCTTGGTGACGCCCTAATCTTCTGGTACAGACGCAGCAGAGCTCTGACAGCATGGCTCTCCATTGCTGGGTTTCCTCCATGTCCTTTATATGATGGTTGGACATTAACTTTGCCCTCACTGATGCTGGATTCCTTAAAATCCACATTGAACTTAGCTTTGATCACTGCAAGGTGGTTATCATAAGAAGACTTCAGGCTTTTCCACTGGTCCTTATCTATGGTCAGACCTTTATCAGCAAGATCATCTTTGATTGTCATGTTGATTTTCACCAGGAGATCACTATTGAAGTTTGGAGACGAAGACCGACGATCAGACTCTTCATAACCACTGCTGGTTTTATGTGATGATTTTAACATTGAATCAAGAACCGTTCGTTGGGCACTTGGTCCAAAAACTGTCATTTCTTCAGAGGATATGTTGGCTAAAAGTTTGTTTTCCCTGTTCATGATGACTTTAAATGCTCTGTTCAACTGATCTGGCTCTGCAGAGCTCGGAGAAAAAACTGAACCACTGAAATCAGCCAAGCACTCCTGGACAACATCTGTGAACTTTGTCTTTGCTTCATTTGGTTTTCCATCTTTACCCTTGGATTCAAATTTCACAGTGACCTCTGGCTTGATTTCAACTTCATTCTCATCCTGTATGCGCTGCAGCTTCTCCTTGAAGATGTGGCTCACATACAAGAATTGATTCACTGACAGAACGCAGCTTTCATCCATCGTTTGATTCTGGACAGGAGGGTCTCCTGCTGCAGAAACTGGTTTCTTCTGTTCTTCAACATGTGCTTTGTCCTGGATAAAAAGCAAAATTGCATTATTAAAGAACAAACATGATGTATTCTATAATGTCTGTATTTGTGTTAGAGTTCATACAGCTGGAGGCTTGGAATCAGCATCTTTGGGGTTTACTGAAGCAGCTGGAGGTGTCGGATTCACTGAAGCATCGTCTGCTGTTTGTGGATCCTGCTTTGGTATTTCCAGCATTACAGACAGAATGGTGACTAATTGTTTTTTGTCTTTTGTATAAAGTGTTTTTCCACTCAGCTTCTGAAGCTCTTTGAGACCTTTAAAATAAACAAAAAATAGAATGAAAAAATGCATTTAGTTGTCAGTAATTTGAAAAGTCATTATTGCAGTATATCAGTGTGTTCAAAATAAATATTCCTTTTTATAGGGTTAGATTAACAGAGTTGCTGAGTCTGTCACATGCTGTATGTGAAAATACAGTTCTATACCTGGAGGAGGTGAAACCAGAATCAGAGCTCGTCCATCTGGTAAGACCTCTTGAACTGTGCAGTCTATTTTAGTTTTTAATTTATTGAACCGAGTCTGGAGGGATTTTTGTAGATCTGTCTTCTTTTTGTTCTTATCCAACCACTTCAAC